ACCTGGTTCCATGAAAGTAAGTGACTGTAATTCATGAACTAGTCAAACTTAGCCAATTAGGCAGTTACTGAACTGTGGCAGAAAATAAACATTCCTCTTCACATCAAGTAATTACTGCTTCCCAAAAAAACAATTACAGTGCCATAAAGAGTAACAAGCCGCAGTGAATTTGCACCACATCAGAGGCATCCTGATAACTTTCTCAGTATCCAATTTACTTTGTGTTCTTTTATTTAAGATGTTTGACTGAAGACAAGGCAAAATTATAGGTACTCCACATGAGTTTGAAATATTGCCAGATTAATTTACTCCCAATTATTTTTACTGTATATTAGTAACTGCCAAGAAACTAATTTTATACTGTATAAGTTCTCAAAAGTCTCAAAATATCTCAAATGCACATTAGTTCAGTATGAATTGTTCTGAACTGTATTAAATAGCTGCATAAGTAGCCTGCAACTTTCTTACAGATTTCACAGGCATATTTTTATAAAGTGTTTTATCAGACTAAATCTGTGTGAACTGCCATTTACGGTACGCTGCTTCCTTTAGTTTAAGGAATAATAACAAATGTATAAATAACAATAAGACATTTCTGGCCAGCAGCTATATCACTCTGCAGCTCACAACTGGCAACCCACTAAAGCTAAGCAGGTGTGAGCCTGGTCAGAACCTGGATGGGAGAGCTAAGGTTGCGGCTAGAAGAGGAGTTAGTGGGACCAGTAGGGAGCACTCACCCTGCAGTCTGTGTGGGTCCTAATGCCCCAGTTTAGTTATACTGTAAAACAGGCGCCGCCCTTCGGATGAGACATAAAGCCAGGATCCTGACTCGCCATGGTTATAGAAAATCCCAGGGCGGTTCTTAAAAAGTACAGGGGTGTTACTCAAATTTCCCCCCTGGCCTTTACCAGACATGACCTCCTAATAATCCCCTGGCTTCATCACTCTGTTCTCCTCCCCACTGAGAGCTGGTGTGTGGTGAGCATTCTGGTGCACTTTGGCTGCCGTCGCATCATCCAGGTGGGGCTGCACATGGGTGGTGGTGGAAGGGAGTCCCCATTACCTGTAGAGCACTATGAGTGGAGAGTACAGAAAAGCGCTATATAAGTGTAAGGAGCTTATGATTATTATTATTAAGGATGTCCAAGCCCACAGATGTCTGCTCAAAGACAGCAGAGGACATAGCTAGGAATTCCTTGACCTGGTAATGGTCATCTTCTCTTTATTTCAGTATAAGGTGTGCCTTCCCCCCTACATTTATATGTACAAACGCTCAAAGCTCTTCACAGAGATGCTACCGGTTTCCTTCATTCAGATGACAGATCAGAATTCAGTAGGCTTCACAAACGAAGTCATATCAAATACTTCTATTTTTTAAAAGCACAATATCAGCTTAATGTAAATTCGAGTAGATGAAAGCAATACTGTTGCACGACAGGGCAGTACAAAATAAGCTTCAGCACAGCGCTATATTGCTGAGCGAGCACTCGGTAAAAGGAAATTAATTTGCACTAAAAGGTGGAGAAGTTCAAATGCAGAAAGCGGTGCCTCTCTCCTACTGTAAGACACATGCCTGCACCTGTCAACTACAAACAAAATTATTTACACCTTTTTAATCACCACCACAGCTTGAATCCCAAGTACCCTCATGCATTTTAATATAGGGTTATTCCTCAGTGCAATAACAAAGTACTCTGTAGAGATTTACCCACACAAGCAATTCAAATTCTGTAATACGGAAGAAACTGAGCTTTTTCAGCTGTCTGCAACAAATATCTCCCCTCCCCATTACTGCAAATTCCTGAAACAATGTTCATTGTTTTCCGTTATGCAGATCTGTATACCCTGCATCGAAATGAAATTAGATTTTTTTGTCATTTCAGTCCTGATAAAACCTGTTTTAAGAGGAAATATTTTTTTTTCGATAAATGGGCACACAAGTAAAAAAACTGAGTTGTGGTGTATTCAGCAAAGCTGAGAGCTGCAACAGAATTTCCCTCAATCAGAAAGGGGACAAGGGGTTAGGATGGCCAATCTCTCATCCTTCTGAGGAATGAGGTGCTGTAACTATAGCAGTGTACATGTAATGTCATCTATGTGAATAAACAAGGTCTGCATAGCTCAAGAGGACAGGTGATTACTTGTGTGAGACCCTGGATTGATCATCAAATGTGATATTTCCCCAGATTCCATCCTTCTGCATCAGCAGCCTCAATATGAGTACAGCACACCTTCATTAAAGACATCTGCTAAATCAATTGGCAGCAAGTGATAAATTCAAGATGCTGTGTGGAGGGAACAAATTGTTGCGATTTGGGATTTTCATTTTACTAGCACAATTCAAAGTGTTTTTTTAGTCGGATCGTCCTGCCCATCATTCCGCAATCTGTAAGTTAGATAAATATATGAACCTGCTGCATTACATATTCTAATTACATGCTGTGTTTAGATTACAGTGTTCAGTGGGCCAGTTCAGGCTGGTCTGCTTAGAGCACCTAAATCAATATTCCATTTTCGCCTACTGCTTTCCTTAATTAGAACTGCACACCTTGCTACACACTATATAAATCTGTGGCAATACATGGGATTAGAAGGGTAGGCTTTATAGCAACATGAACTAATTATATTACTCCATAATAAATGGTCACATAAACAAGCTTTCTAATGCAGGAGAGAAGGAGAGAAGATCTCTGCAGCTTTACGTCTGGCGATGAAATCGGCTGTTAGAATCATTTACTGTAACGCAGCTTGGTTATCGTCTGAGGCTGTTTTAATTAAAAAGAAAATGTAGCACACAGTACAGAAGAACGTATGAAAGGCTGAAAATGACAGGAGGCCATTTGGTCCATCTAGCTCGTTTGCCAGTTTAGTGGCTAAGTGAATCTAAAATTTAATCGGGCCGTCTCTTAAGAGTCTGTTTAAGTAGGTTCTTAAAAGAGGCATCCGGGTGGAGGAGCCTCTTTGTGTAATGAAACATCCCCCGTTCCTCATCCAAATGAACTCCCTTTTAGATTCAGACTACAGCCTTGCGTCCTTATTCTACTGTTGAATGAGTCCCCAGCTTCACCCCTATCTATACTGTGTTTTATTTCATATACTAGGTTCAAAACTTCTCTCAATCCGTGACACTTTAGCTCCCTTGTCCAGTCCTCGTGTGGCAATCCCCTGAGTTGAAGAATTCTTTTCTCGTTGCTTTTTCGTTGCGTGCATTTGAAGAATATGATGTGCTTTTTGTGGTCTAGTAACCAAAACTGAACACAGTATTGTAATTGAGGTATTGAGGTCTTGCCAGTGCGTTGTAAATCTTGAGCAAAACTTCTATGGTTTTAATTCCAGATGGGACGAATGCCCACCCCCAACTCATTTGTAACCTTTGTTAAACATAATTTGCTCTTTACCCAATAATTCCATTTGTGGAAACATGAGAATTGCCATAAACACCCAGATCTCGTGTGCTTCGCTTCCGGCAGCTCAGAACCACTCATGCGAGATGTATAGTGGATATTCCTGCCCTGTCAACATTTTGGATTTTAAAAAAAAAACCTTTCTGCTTCCATTTCCATTTGCCACTCCTGCTATATTTCCATCATCGGCAGATGTACGTTTTTGGTCAACTCTATCAGAATCTGTATGTATCGCAACAGGAAAAGCAGCAGGCCTAAAACTGATACCTGCAGCACACTGTTTCTTACATCTGCCCAGTTAGGTGTGGTGCCCCTTAAGATGATGTGCTGTTTAACTTCTTGAAAGTCGATCTGTCCCATAACATCACCTTTGCTGTATATCATCCTCTTCCATATCGGATCATATAGAAAGATGCTTTCATTCATGTCCCCATTTTGTATTCTATGGCATAAAACTAGTGTTAATTCTGTTAATTATGTAATACGCTGATGATAAAAGTTTTTTTTTGTTGTTCTGCTGTAGATGATTTTCTTGATTTCTTACCTTTTCTAAAACAGGATTCTTTTATTCTGGGAGAATACTGCCATTTTAGAACATCTAGTGGCATTTATGGAAGCAACCGTATGCAGTTCTCTGCCATGTATCCAGTTTTATACGTTTTTAGTTTGAAGAAAGACCACCAGCGGTGCAGTACTCTTAAAAAATTGATTTGCCCATACATTCCCTAAAATAAAAGAAAGTTTAAGAAAGAAGCTTATCTTAGCACCCTGTATTTTTTAATCAGAATGTCACAGTACCTGTACTTTGAATGCTCCTCATATCAGATAATAAGGTTAACATGCGATATTTTTTCTAGAATAACAACCTGCTGTTTAAAAGTTGGTAAAGGCAGGCCTGTTCAATTGCAAGATAAGACTTTATAGTGAAACCTTTTTCTTTGAAGGAAGATAGACCCATTAAATTATGCCAAATTAAAAGAGAAACTATTTCTGGATCTTAATTAATGTGTAGACAACAGGCAAATGCCAAATACGTTAAATTATTTTGGTGCATAGCTACCAGTTGAAAGGAATAATTGTTTCACTCCTGTGGCATAGAGAATGTGTGGAAAGTGATGCTGCACACTGAAGTCCAGAGGCTGAACTGTAACAGGTGAGCTGTGAAGGGAAAATAGGGAACAGTAGTGGTTAGAGATCTGGGCACTTTACTTTTCTTCCTTGGACTGAATTTGCACTTCCAGGCAACATCCTGCCACATACAGTACAGCAAATGGATCTCCAGTTCATCATTACAGATAATTCCATTTTCAATTGTCTACCATGCATGGTGAAGCAAAGCAAAAGTGAAGGGAAGTAGAAATGGCTGATTGCTATGAGGAATTGAACTAAAAAGCCCCTACTGTATTGTTTACTCATATTGTGGGGCATTTTACCAAGGCATGCAGGAAAACAGTGTCTGCGAAAATCTGGATTGATGTGAGAAGGTATCAAGATGTGTAATGGGTAAAGGTAGCTGTGTCTTTATTGGCTACTGTACCTAAATTATATTGTGAATTATTCTGACACTTGTTGTTGGTTTGTTTTTTTTGTTTCCAGTTACAAATTACAATAACGTGGTGGAGGCGAACTCTGATTCAGATGACGAAGATAAGCTGCATATAGTGGAGGAGGAGAGCCTGCCCGACGCCGCAGACTGCGAGAATAATGTGCCAGAAGATGACCTGCCAACAGACCCTGCAGTATTACCAGAAGATGGGCAAGGAGAGGATGAGGAAGGTTGGGAGGAAGGTGGGGTGTTCTTGCACTGAGGGCTCCTCACTCCGTAGGGCGCATGACACATTTGTCTTTCAGGAAGAATCCGCCTTCTTGATTATATGAATTGCATTCTGCATTTTCTACAGCTTGGAGCTCAAGAACATAGCCGCTTTCTTTTATTCATAAAGCTAGAATTCATTGTCTTGCTTCAATCAAATAATGTAAAAACTGTAAAAGATCTAGTAAACAAAAAAAAGGATAGGTGATTGATTTTGGCAGCCATAATTTAAAAGAATTCTGTTCTGAAACCCCATTATCATCTTCAATATTGAAATAGTTTGAAATCTGTGACCAATTTGCAAAAATGCAACTTTTCCATGTTTAAAAGATTTGATTTTCTTCATGATATATCTATCATTTGTACTCTCTGTCAGTGAAAGAACAGTTAACAAAGAAAAATGATAAGCAGAGCTAGAATCGGCCCCTAAAAAGACACATCCTTTCCAAACAAGTATCTTTAAATTATCAGGAAACATGGAGAACAGGTAGACACAAGCTGGAAATGATGTATTAGAATCCATTCTTACAAAGGAGCTCAAATGTTTCACATGTTTGTATATGTTTGATAGATGTCAGGAGGGTTTTCCTTTAATCACAAGAATTAATTCATTTTTACTATATAGATTTGTTTTACCACTGTTTGGTTTTCTCAGAAATATCAAAGGTTTTCTTGGCACAGCCTCATAAATGCTTTGAAAACCGTAGAAGGACAGCTCTCCTGTAAATTCTTTACCCCAGTTGCCCCAGTTACAGAATGCAAATCTAATATTTATGAACATGGTTCAGAAACTTTGTGGCCTGATATAGAAGGAAGAAAGAACTGAGACCACTGCTGCTACAGCTACTTATTTTTTGTGATTGTGCTCAGACAGAAAGTCACATAATAGAAAGCTTTGTTCCTTACTTTTACTTTGTTTATTGTAGGTAGGTTATAATGGATGTAGGAATAAATAAAAAAAGTGCAAGTGCTGTGCTGTCATCATTTTTTTTGACAGTGCTTTCAGCATACGTTTGGATTTTTCACATGGTTCGGTGTTCTTTAATATCAACATATTGATGACAGAATGGTGCTTGATATCTTAGTTTGTATTTTTAGCATCCCTTATTATATACCTGCAAGATACGGAGCATCCGTAAGGTACAAAGGCATCTAAAATTATTCGTTTTAATGTTCATCCTCTTACTATATTTCTTACCGCATGCAGGATCTTTCCTTGGAGAGTCTCAGTGCTCGTGCGCTGGTGAAACACTCTGAAGCAAAAAAAAATAGGGAAATGAGGACTCTCAGCTGTTAATCCCCAAATTTCCTCACATAAGCCTGGAAAGATGGTAAATGTGGATGTCAGGATACTCTTGAGAGGTAGCAGAAATTCATTGCACTATTTCGACATCTCACTCAACACCCTCTTCGTAGTTTCTTGTTGATTATTACCAAAATGCATGGGCGTGCCCACTGCACTGGGCCATGCTAAAATGTCAGTGTTTTCATCTTTTCATATATATATATTAGCATATAGTGTCAGCATTGAAAAGAAAAGAGGAAAAGAAATGTGAAACCTAAAGGTCTTACTTTGAAATGTAAAAGCAAAATAATACTCCTTTCTTTTCAAAGGAGAATGAAGTAGACTTGCTGAAATCTCTTTCAAAAGCATCATTCAGGCTGCCTCTTAGTATAGGCAGGTTGTTAACGCTTGGTGATAATAAGGTTCAAGGAGCAACCTCTCACAGACGCCATGATTAAATGAGCATGTGTCTGCTTTCCAGCGTGGACCATATTCTGTTATTGATGTTTCTCTTCATACTTATGCTTGTGTGTCTGAAATTAATAAGAACACAATGAAGGTTACAAATGAGAGGCCGTTTGGCCCATCTAGCCCATTTGGTGGTTAGTAGATAAATGATCCAAGGGTGTCATGCAGCTGTTACTTGAAAGAAGTCGGGGTAGTGGTTTCAGCAATGAGGGGGGGCGTTCTCCTTACTTCTATAATCCGAGGATTATAGGGCGGTGGGTGCCGAGCGGTGGCTCTGTGGTTAAGGATCTGCGCCTGTGGCTGGAAGGTTGGGCCCCTGAGCAAGGCCCTTCACCCCAACTGCTCCAGGGGTGCCGTATAAATGGCTGACCCTGCGCTCTGACCCCCAGCTTCTCTCCCTGTCTGTGTGTCATGGAGAGCAAGTTGGGGTATGTGAAAAAGACAACAATTCCTAATACAAGAAATTGAATATGGCCAATAAAGTGATCATATCTTAATCCTTTACATTAAAAAACGTTCTCAGTTATAACTGCACATAGTATCCCCCGGTGACATCTGGTTCATATTTCGCTCTTCATTCTGAAGTCCTCTGAGATGAAATGCCTTTGAGGATTTTAAATACTTGTATTAGATCCCCTTGTAGTCTTCTCTGTTCAAAACTAAAAACATTCAGTTCCTCAGCACATCAGTATAGGCCTTTGTTTTATGACCACAAATATGTGTGGTTGCTCTTCTGTGGACAGATTCCAGAGCGCCAACATCTGTTCTGTAATGTGGTGACCAAAGCTGTGTATATGCATTCTAAATGAGGTCTTATTAGTGCATTGCCCAATTTGAAGATAAAATCCCTTGGTTCAACTACTAAACCTACAGTAAACACTTTGCCTTTTTATATTGCCTCCCCCACATTGTCTGAAAGATGTAAATGTGTCAGCATAAAGACATTTTCTGAAATAGCTTCTTCAGCGTTTCACATTGTTTTTTATCGTTTGTTTTTGCTATCTGCAAGTGAAATTATGCACTTGTCCACATTTAACAACATCTGCCAGATGCTCGCCCAGTCTTGCGTTTTATCTAAATCTTTTTAGATTTCATTTGCTCCTTCTAAAACGTTTGCTCTTATTTTGGTATTGTTTGCAAACAAATAGTTTGGAACTAGAGCAGGCCTTTTGGTCCATGTAGTCCACATGGTTGTTAGTGTAACTAGTTGAAGTGTACGAGCTCATCCAGGGTCGGTCTTTCTTTCTTGAAAAAGACCCGGGTATTGGTTTCAACAAAGGCTGGGTAGCCTGTGCCATATTTCACAAGCCCGTTTGCTAGCTATACCAGAATCTAAAATCTGAAGGATTTGGACAGGGTAGGATGTGGACCAGTCAGGAGTGTGTGCTTGGTGGAATACAGCAAGACAGGTCTGTAGGAATTCGCCAGACCTGCTACATGATGCCCCAGAAAGCACCTGTGGCCACAAACCACACAGAACGCTTTCCAACACAGTGTATTGCAGTAAATCACATGCTTGCTTAAGGTTTGTTTGGGTGTGTGCTTTTGTTGGTAGTATTCCGTGGTTGAAATAACCTTGCTGAGCTGCATTAGTTTCATCACAGCCTCAGCACAGCAATGTAGATCTCTGTCCTGAAGATGCACTGGACTTTGATTTGCGAATGTGCTGCTGAATAGTTTGTTTTGCTCTTCAGCTCCAGGGATCCCCTGAATGTTGCAACTGCCACCGTCTTCGCCTTTTGTTTTCTGAATGTAGTATCGCCAGGTGTTTTTATTATACCTGCCCACATTGGAATAACTGGGGGAGGGGGGGGGTGTTTTCATGTTGGCAGCTCACGGCTATGAGCTCTGTAGCTGCACACAGGAGAGAATGAGGAAGTATACATGGGCAGTTTCCTTTAACCCTCCCACCATCAAGCCACTGGTCTTACTCACGGCCCCATGTCAGAGGTTCTACGCCCTGTTGGAGGAGATGTGATGAAAGCAGCACTGCAGAGTGTGATGACCGATTGCAGGTCGCAAACAGGGAAGAGAAACAGGGTGTACAGGTGCAGTTTGAATAGTGGGTTATTTAAGGAAATGCCCGCAAATACTACAGTAGGTACCAGGTTCCACCACAGGGATGCATGGGAGTAGAATTACCAAGCACAAGAAGTAGGAAATTAAGAAGACGTTGTTATTGGCAGACAAACTGGCCGGAGGTGGGCAGGAGTAGCAGGAGGTGGGGCTAGTGGCATGAACGGCATGATTACTTTTGCGAAGTGCCTCACTTTGGAAAATGAAGTCCCAGCAGAAGACAAGGCCGCAGGTCTATGAGCTGGGAGGCAGCAATCCCAGATAACTTGCAAACATTCCTCCCCTGCCTGCTCAAATTGAAAATGAAACTTAGTTCATCCTTGCCTTATTTGTTATGTCGGTAGTCCAAATCAGAAAACAGGCTGTTAAGCTGCAAACCTTCCAACAGGTTCTTAACACAACTGCGTTCTTGAATCACGCAGCTACCATAACAGTTAGGTTTCTTGTATGATAGCACAGGTACTTAAGTCATAGCACTGCGTAGGCCTGTTTGTTGGCAATAATAGCAGTGCATGGTGAAATCATTACTTGTAAAAGATTGCATCGTCTAAAATTTGACTGAGCCACCCCCTCCTGTATTTCCATGAAAACGTCATACTGCAAGGCATCACCACGGCGAAGAGATTCTGAAAGACATCATCACAGCAACAAATGTAGAATATTTACCAAAGGTAGACAACCCTTTGGCATTGAGCATGTGTTGGGATTGAGGAGGTAATTTTTTGGGCACCTGAACTTGACGTAGTTTTGTTCCCTAGGCCAGCAATAGAAAAACACTGGTACCTGGGTAGCGCTGTCCCAGCATCAGACAGACATAATAGGAACGTACTGTAGTGTTGCTGGATTGGATGTAGTGCTGTTTTTTACTGTATTATAAAACTGGAGGACCAGCCATGTTAGTGTCATCTGGTGCCTGTGGGTGAAGATGAAACAGTATATCAACACTATATTTATGTACCTATCAGTTGTTCAGCAAAATAAAGTTTTATTTGAACTATTTAATCACTTAAGGATAAAAGAATAATGGTAAAGTGTGTAGGCAGTAAAATTATGATTGTGGTTACAATGCCAAGATATGTAATTTAATCAAACTCATCCCAGTAAAGGGGAGCACATGTCCATCAGAGCCGCAGATATGGTCTCTTA